CAAGTAGCTTAATAACATAAATCAGAACTTGTTTGCCTAAGTGATAAAAGAAAAGATCATCTAAATACGTTGATTTTTATCTGTTTTAGAATCCCTAAGGGCAGGTACTTTGTCTTAATGTCCTCTGAAATGTGTAGAATCATTCTGTGCACATAAAGTGCACTCTACCAGATGGTATTTGATGGCTGTGTTCATCTTCAACATGAACAGAATATTAGTTTAGAGAAGATGTGTTTTCTTTTTCAAAATTTCCATTTTCTAGTGTCTAAGAACATTGCTTCCTTGGATAACTGCTTTTATTTCCCTATTGGTTCTTCTGAAAAATTGGGAACTCAAATTCAGATGCAGTAAGTCATCTGGTTGACTGGACTAGAAAGAGTAATTGCTTTGATTTTTACAGGTATTATTTGTCCTTCAAGCTAAAATTAAAGGAATGACTTGCTTTAATCTTAATCATGTTGTTGACCATGTATTATCAAACCAATGGCTAATATGTATTACTCGTTAGCTATCCAAAATAGCATCATTCACTCATTTAACCTGAGGTATTTAAATGGCCAGACAAAACAGAGTAGCTAGTCTTACGCTTGCTTGTCTCCAGACCTAACAACCTCTTTGCTATTCCTCAAACTCAATAGGCATGTTTCCACCTCATGGCTTTCTCACTTGCTGTCCCCTCTTTCTAGAATGTTCTTTCACCTTTTACAAGTGTTTGCCACAATTTTATATTTTCAGTAAGACTATTCTGATCACTTCTATGTAAGTGTAGATCCTCCCCCTGCCCTCCCTATGTGTCCTTCTTAAATTATTTTATATTTTTGTAACACTTATAAAGATCTGAAAACAATATATTTTAATTATTTTGCAAATTCTTTTTTCCTCGACTACAATGTAAGCTGTTTAAAGGCAGGATTTTTGTCTGTGTTGTTCATTGCTGAAGCCGAATGCTTAATACAGTGCAGGTGATCAATAAATATTTATTCAATTTATTAATGAGTACTATAAACATTATTATTATTATCCTCATTTTGTACTTAGGTATCTTACCTGAGAGGAGATGGTATATCTAGAACTAGAACCCAGGTAGCTGGCTCCAGAACCTCCTCAGTAAACTCCATCATAAACTCCAAAAATGATAACTGCTATCACATTTAATACTTTTTCCAGACCTTGAAGAAGGGAAGCAGATTTGACTTGATCTATCAAAAATAAATACATAGGAAATGTTTTTGGACTGATGAGGAATGATTCCTATCTCTCATATTATGGAAAATACTAAACAATACTATACTCTCCTTTCTCACACTGAAACAGTTACTATTAACTCTAGATTTAAAAAATATATATATGTAAGTTTCAATTAAGTAAATTACAGAGAACTCTAATTGAAATTGTGATAGAAATATTAATATAATTGAAGTCTTTTGCATTTTCTATTTACCAATAAAGTTACTATGAGGCTTAAATGAGCTAAACCATGCAAAAATTTAATATATTAATTGTTCCTGACATTAAACAGTTATTTTGAGATGACTGGTTAGACTCATACAAAAAAAAAGATATTCTAAAATGATAGTATGAATATATTTAGGCCACATATACATATGTAATCAAATCCTGATACTTGAAGGATCAATGCTTCTGTTGATATTTTCAATTATTCCTTTTATGCAATATTTCTTGCCTTTGGACTGGCAAATAGAAATAGATGGTGTTTGTGTAAGTGCTAATACATGTAATAGATTTGAGAACTCTGTTATATATAGCACCATTCCCCCTTGCTTTTGTGACTAAAAAACTATGAATCCTTCCTAATTATTATACCATCTACCACACACCCTGAAGCAATAAAGGATTGACAAGATAAAAGGAAGAAAACAATCAAATGAAGATTTTCTTTTAAATCCTGTGTTTTCAAGTTTCCACTGTGGGCACAACCTCACACAACAATGAAGTAGACAAGTTACTGATATTCACAATCCTTAAAACCCTGAGGCATTTAAATGGTTAAATGAAACTGAAGAAATATTTCCAGGTACCTCAGGGATTGAAAGTAATTAATATAAGAAATAACAATATTTAAGTAAAAGGAAACAACTTTCATAATACTCTCATCCCACATCAAGGATATTGAATATATTAAATATTAGAATAGATCTGATACATTAAAAGGTTTAACATTAGTTTGGTATTAAAATTGTTTACCCAAAGCTATCTTGTTTCAGAATGTATTTCTTCTGACATTTATGAAAACAAAAGAATATAAATTGTTTCTCAAGAAAAAAATAAAAACAACCACCACACACTAATAAAGAATTAAAAAGAACTTGATAGTATATATAACCATGTAATAAGTAAAATTGACTGACCTGAAAGAGAAAAACAAAAAAATTTAGTGCATGCCTTTTTTAGTGATAAGATATAGTCACCAGATATAGTGTAAATCTGTGTTTCTTCAAAAAGTTACCTGACTATAATTATTTGTAGTTTCATTTTATCTTCTTTGCTAATTCTTGTTAATCAAAGAACAGAAAACAAGGTGAAAATATCAACATCTACTATCAACCTATTGAATGTATTTTTAATTTTTTTGTTGTTGTTTCTTATTTTCTGCTTTAGGCTTCCATTATGATTAACTTAATGAAATTTAAAATTTTAGATTTTGACATAAATGAAATGTTTCAAAGATTTTGACCAGAGTCGCTTATTATTTCTTTGTTCTTTACTGTTTTTATTCCATTTTATTTTAGTATGGGGGTGGGTTGCAGGGGGGCGGGGAAGAGGGGAAAATATGCAATAGCCTTTACCCCAAAGAAATATCATCATATTTTGGCCAGTCTGATGACATAGCACTTAACTCCAGTGAGAATGGCTTTTATCAAAAAGTACCAAAGCAATAAATGTTGGCATGGATGTGGAAATATAGGAACACTCATACACTGCTGGCGGGGCTGCAAACTGGTACAACCTCTGTGGAAAGTAATATAGAGATCCTCAAAGAGCTAAAAGTAGAACTACCATTTGATCTGGCATTCCCATTACTCGGCATCTACCCAAAGGAAAAAACACATTCCATAAAAAAGACATCTGCACTAGAATGCTTATAGCAGCACAATTCACAATTGCAAAGATGTGGAAACAACCCAAGTGCCCTTCAATGCATGAGTGGATTAAGAAAATGTGTTAGTGAGAGTGAGCAAAGTCAAGAAATGAGGCCTGAGAAAGTAGGAGGATGGAGTTGCTGTTATTTACTGAGATGATGAAGCAGTGAAAACAACAGGTTGTTGTCAATATTTATTTTTTGAGGTGGGCCAGGGTAAAGCAGAGATCAGGATGTGGGGCTTCTAATTTCAAAATGGGAGTCTTGTTACCTATCTAATTGAGGATTCAAGTAGGCAGTTGGAGAAAAGTCTGAAATCCACAAGAAAGCCTAGAGATATGAGCAACTTCAGCATTTAGGTAGTAGTTAAAGCTAATCTATTGGAGGAGGTGACCATATAAGTTAAGTTCAAGGACCAACCTTTGGAGAAATCCAATACAAAATAAGTCTCATAAGTGAGGAGAAATCAACAAAGGAAAATGAGAAAATATAGGTCAGAATGTGGGAATTAAAAGCAGGAGAATGTGGTATCCTAGAAGCCATGTGAAGGAAGTGTTTCACTTTTATGAAGCACAGATTAACCCTGCAAAGCTTTTTTCACAGAACCTGGCACATAGTAAATATTCAGTAGTTTATTACTAACTGAATTATTATTTTCAGTTGTCCCTGGACTCTGGGGTTTCTGTAGTCCTAGAGAAGCTTCTCATCATCAATCCACTGTGGTAGTTCCATGACCAGGACTGTATAATCCATGTCAGAGCCATTGGATCTATAAGTAGAAGCAGTGCCTCCCTGCTTGTTTGGACATGGAATTTCACACTCAGGCTCTCTGTGCTGGGACAATTATTGTAAGTCACTGAAAGGAACCCATATCATACAAATACCCCTTTCTTAGGTCCTGCCAACTCCAGTGAAGTTCCTGTCAGTGGAGGGGCTGGTGTTTTTGCCAGAACAATAACCTATAAATAAAATTCACCTAGCCCTTTCTTAAGATATTTCCTCTCTCTCCAGGGTCATGCAAAGGTAGATTCTTCTCACATTCTTAATACAGCATCCAGATTTCTTTTTTTTAGCCATGTCTTTCATAAGAGGACTTAATGCTTCATTGGAAATGAAAATTATTGGATGTTTTTGAAGGTCAAATCCTGGTTTCCAGTGCCACAAAGGAGTGTATATGTCTTTATTTTGGGCAAAAGAAACCCAGATCTCAAATTCAGAAGCTATAGGTTTTATCTTCTCTGATGGGTGAGGGAGGAAAGAAAACACCACCACCACCAACAACAACAAAAGGTTAATATTATTAAAAGCTTACAATGTACCACTTGTTAGTCTCTGTGCTTTGACATATATTATTTCAATTAAACCTCTCAACATTTATTAAGATTTGAATTGTTATAGTCCTCATTTTATAAATGAAGAATTGAGAAATAATCACGTGGGGTGAAGGGGGCCTGGTTTTGAATTCAGCTCTCTGGCTCCAGATTCAGGATTCTTGAATTATTACCTTGATATATTCTGAGCAGAAAAAGAAAAAGCAAACATTAAATAATTTTTGACACTGTAAACATCTATCTAGAACTTGATATATTTGTTTATAGATATAAACTCATACAAGATTAAATAAATTAAAATAATATAATTAATTATATTAATTAAAAAGGAAAATATTGGAAATACCATTATTGTATTCCCCACCAGAATTTCCCACATTCAGAAATACTGGGATCAGATATGAAATTTTGTATTTTGCATCTTGCCATTGTCTAGTCTATGCTTTAGTCTTTATTTTTAAAAGTATTTTGGATATTCTGTGTTATCAGTTTCAAGCTTTTATATTACTCTGTACTGATTAGGAGCCTTATCAATTACTTGATAATTGAATTACGTTTTCTCTCTAAAGGCAACTGATCGAGAGGGAGATCCAATAACGTATGCCATTGAGAATGGAGATCCTCAGAAGGTTTTTAATCTTTCTGAAACGTAAGTTAAAAATGACTTCTAACTTGCCCCCCTTCCTTTTTTCTTAAACAATGTACTGCTAGGAAGAGAACAGACTTTTAATCAGAGGCTTTCAGCTGTTTTTAGTTTTATTTTACCTTTTTTGCTATGAATATTAATGACAGCTAGAAGGATAATTCTGAACCCAGAAATCTTACCCAGGAGGCTATTTATTTTTAAAATTTTTACTAGGTAAAATCCACTGGGGTGGAAACCTTCATTTGAAGGCATAACCTGGGATTAATTAGATCTCTTTAAAGTTGTGAGCTACTCCTAATGACAAGGGCATTTCTACAAAAGATAACTTAGCACCAAACTGTTTATTCAAAGGGAATCTTGTAGGCAAGGTATGTTACAAACACTTTAAGGTGCCACTAAAATCCATCTTTCCATTTCTGATTAATGTAGGTATGTTTTAAACAGCTAAAACTTTTTTTTAAAAAAAATGTCCATACTAAACCTTTTTGAGGTCTAGATTAACATCATTCTACTTACCTCTCTGAACACATCTGAGATAATATTAATCATAATTATTGAAAAAATTGGGAGCAGGCATGAAAAGAAGGCGTTTAGGTTTCTAGAGAAATCTTTTGTTTCCCTGCATCAATAGCAAGGTAGCTGTTCTACTGTCACAGGTGGCTGGCTGATAAAAAGCTGTGCCTGCTTCCTCTCTGATATTTTCTGTGTGATTGTGACTGGCTGTACTTCCTGAAAGAATGAAAATGGAAACTTAGCTCATAATTATAAAGTGAAAACTTTGACAAATGAGCAAGCCACTGCTTCAGTCTCAGGAATACATGGTGCATAATACCAAATCAAGAGAGCCATGTGTGGGTCACTTGGTTGACGGAGGAACACCAGCAATTTCATATTGAATACGATTTTGCAGCCATAGGTTAGTAGTGTCTGGAAAACCATAGACAAGAACAGTTATTTCCCAGAACTTTAGATTTCACAGATGAATAAATTTCTATTTAAAAATGGAAAGACTTAATTATTTTCAATATTCCCCATCAAGATGTGAAATCATAAATTAGCTACAATTTATAGTTACTATTGAAGAAATCTCAAAACTTTTTAAAGGAAAACTTTAATCAAGACTGTGTAGTATTGGAATAAAAATAGACATATAGATCACTGGAATAGACTTAAGAATCCAGAAATAACTCTAACATTTATAATCAATTGATCCTCAAAAAAGGGGTCAAAATAATCCATCCAATCATGAAAGAATTTTTTGTTTTTGCAACAAATGAAACCAGAACAACATGCAAAAGAATGAAGTTGACTCTCTACCTCACACTGTTCACAAAAATAAACTAAAGTGGATTATAGACCTAAATATGAGATAAAATTATATAACACTTAGAAGAAAATACAGAAGTCTGTCTCCTTTTGAGTTAGGCAATATTTTTGAGATACGACACAGAATGCACAAATAATAAGAATATTGATAAATTGGATCTCATCAATTTTTTTTTCAAAAATGTGTTTCAAGGGGCACCATCATTAAAATCAAAGACAACCCACACACTAAGATAGAATATTTTAAAATAATGTATATGATAAAGAATATATATCAAGAATACATAAAGAATTATTACAACTCAAAATTAAAAAGAGAAAAACCTCAAGCTTTCACTTGCTCTGTTAAGCAGGAAGTCCATGTCTCTCTTTCTCTCTCTCTCTTTCTCTTTCTCTGGCTCTCTCTCTCTCTCTGTCTGTCTCTCTCTCTCTCAGATTCACAGTTCTGTTATATGTTTTTCCCTTGATGCTAAAGTATTTTCCAACTGCTGGTTATGAAATCGAATCAAGGAAATTCTCTACTTGTTCGGCCCTCCTGTTTCTCTAGTACTTCTCTAATGTCTGCTTTTGAAGTGAAAAAATACTGGTTGGGTCACAGAAGTTCTTCAAGAAGTAAAAGATGTCAGTGAAGAATGCTTTTAGTCTAAATTGATCATAATTTTTATATTACAACACTTAGGTCGACTGAGATGCTATCTCCTTAACAGGCAAATTGTTTCCAGGAAAGCTAGAGCAGGGCAGGTCCCGTGATGGTGGCGTGATCTCTTTTGGTGATCATTCTTGATTCAGGGTTCAGTACACTGGGCCCCTTGCCTTCTTCCTATGGTCATTTCATTTCAACTACCTCATTACTATTGCTCCCACTGATATTTATGGACTTGCCTAGACCATTAGCAATACATTCCAATGCATTCAAATGGGGAAAAATAAATGACATTTAAACTGCTACCCTCTAGAGACATCTGGGATTCTTGTGTAAATTTGCACCACCACTTCTCTGTAACTTCCAAGGATTTGAGTAATTCAGATACTCCCTCAAAAAACAACAGAAAGGAAGTAATATTCTACCTTATCAGATACTTCAATACATATATATAATTTTGAGTATATTTGCTACCTTAAAACAAAAAATAATTACCTATCCACTGTTTACTTTAAATACTATATCATTTTATGCTAGAATGCAAATTTAGCAATAAACATCATTATAATATCACTATTTTACTTTTTTCATTGAAGTAAAAATATACTAAACAGATTCTTGTAATATACTACCACAACAAGTAAGATGTGCAATGTTTGGGGGATGGACACACTTGAAGCTCTTACTTGAGGGGGTTGGGGGACATGGGTAATATATGCAACCTTAACACTTGTACCCCCATAATACACTAAAATAAAAAAATAAAAAAACTAAAATAAAAAATATATATATATTAGTAGTGATGAATAATCATTTCAGTGTTAGTCTGCAGTTACAAAGCATTGAATTGTTATACAATTTAATAAATTGGCTTAGTCACATAGCCAAGAAAGAAACTCATTCTTTAAAGAAAAGGCATCAGTTCTTTTAAAATCATAAACATTGGTTATGAAAATTGCTCACTGTCATATATTAAATGGCCATCTCTATAAGATTCTGCAGTATAATAAATTATTATTCCAATAATTTTTCATAGTACCTGTGTTGGTAGTGGTGGTAAATTATTCAGCAAATATTTATTCAGCAAACATTCATAAATAAGTAAACATTTAAATAAGATGTAATTTATTTTATAAATAAAATAGCCAAATATTTAAGTTATTTATCATGAGAGGTTAAGGAATTGCCATCTCTCAAATTGTTATGGATTGCCATCATTATAGCATATGTTTTTTAATGTAATACTTGAAAGCAAAATGTTAAATGAGAGATTTTCAAAAAATTATTTCTAGTCTCTGGTTCAAATTTTATTTCAAAAAGTTTTTCTTCACTGGCATTTTTATTTGTTTCTATTGTGACAAGTTCATTTTGACACTAAATTTAAAGCTTGATTATGTTTTTCATTTCAGTTTGAACTTTATGATTACATTGAAGATTAAATAATATATAAGAAAAATGTCATGCATTTTATTTCCTGGCAGTTCAGCTCTACTTTCAAAATATATACTCAACTCAAACTACTTCTAATACTCTTCACTTTATCTCATTTGTTTATGCCACCAACATATTTTTCCTGAAATGCTATCAAGGTCTAACTCCTTCTATTGATCTAAGTTTGTTAATCACAATTTACCATTTAACATGTAATTCCATGTCAACTTGAAGTAACCACACATTTTAAAGTACACTCCAAAACCTAAGTGTCCATCAACAGATAAATAGATAGAGACAATATGGTACATATACACAATTGAATATTATTCATCCATGGAAAAGAATTAAATACTGTCATTTGCAATGATATAGATGGAACTGGAAGACATTGTGTTAAGTGAAATAAGCCAGGTACAGAAACACTAATTTTGTATATTCTTACTCATATTTTGGGGTAAAAATTTTAAAAATTTAAATCATGGATATAGAGAATAGAATGATGGCTAATAGAGGCTGAGAAGGGTAGAAGGAAGGGGTAGATAAAGTAGGGATGGTTAATTGATACAAAAATACAGCTAGATAGAATGAATATGATCTAGTATTTCATAGCACAACAGGTGACTAAAGTTAACAATAATTTATTGCATATTTAAAAATAACTAAAAGAGTAGAGTTGAAATGCTCCTAACACAAAGAAGTGATAACTGTTTGAGGTGATAGATACTCCAATTACCCTGATTTGGCATCTGATAAAGTAGAACATTACTTCCTTTCTGTTGTTAATTTTTTTGAGGAAGTATCTGAATTACTCAAATCCTTGGAAGTTACAGAGAAGTGGTGGTGCAAATTTACACAAGAATCCCAGATGTCTCTAGAGGGTAGCAGTTTAAATGTCATTTATTTTTCCCCATTTGAATGCATTGGAATGTATTGCTAATGGTCTAGGCAAGTCCATAAATATCAGTGGGAGCAATAGTAATGAGGTAGTTGAAATGAAATGACCATAGGAAGAAGGCAAGGGGCCCAGTGTTGTTTCCACATCTTTGCAATTGGGAATGGTGCTGCTATAAACATTCAAGTGTAGATGTCTTTTTATTAAATGTCTTTTTTTCCTTTGGATAGATACCCAGTAGTGGGATTGCTGGATCAAATGGTAGTTCTACTTTTATCTTTGAGGTGTCTCCATACTACTTTCCATAGAGGTTGTACTAGTTTGCAGTCCTGCCAGCAGTGTATGAGTGTTCCTATCTCTCTGTATCAACAACATTTGTTGTTTTGGGACTTTTTGATAAAAGCCATTCTCACTGGAGTTAAGTGATATCCCATCATGGTTCTGATTTGCATTTCCCTGATGACTAACAATGATGGGAATCTTTTCATGTGCTTTTGGTCATTTTTATATCTTCTTTGGAAAATGTTTATTCAAGTTCATTGCCTATTTTTTAATTGGGCTGTCTTTTCGCTATTGAGTTTTAATAGTCCCTGGAAACCATACCCTTATCAGATATATGATTTGCAAATATTTTCTCCCATTCTGTAATTTTTTTTCACTTTCTTATGTTCTTTGATGCATAAATTTTTTTTAATTTTGATAAAATCTAGTATATCTATCTTTTCCTTTTACTTTCTTTTCATTTTGTGTCATATCTGAGAATCCATTGCCAGATCAAGATTATAGAGATTTACCCCTAACTTTTCATTTAAGAGTTTTTTTAGTTTCAGGTTCTTATGTTTACATTGTTGATCCATTTTAAGTTAATTTTTGAATGTGGTGTGAGGTAGTCTAATTTAATTCTTTTGCATGCAGATTTCTAGTAGTGCCAGCACCATTTGTTGAAGAGACTATTCTTTCTCATTGAATGATCTTGTCATACTTATTGAAAATCAATTAGCCATAGATATATTGGTTTCTTTGTGGACTCTCAATTCTATTAGCCTGTATTCCGCACTACATTTTTGGATGCCCTAATTTAAAAAAAAAAAAAAAAAAAACTCTTTACTCAAGCTTTCTTAACAGGTTGTTGACATTCTATTATATACCTCAGGCTTAATCATTTGCATCAGGTGCCTATGGGTTACCCCTCTGCCTTACAATGTTTCCTAGGAATGCCCACAGCCTTTCTACCTTGAGTGAGTTCCAAGTTCGTGAAACAAACACAAGTATCATTCCTTCACGCAGCCTCTATACAGGTTAGGATAGATCACCACAAGATTTTGTGAATAAGGTTAGTTCTGTTCCCTTTAGAAATGGGAACCAGGGTGTCACACTAAAAATGTTCACTGTTGTTTTTAAGACTACCCTGAGCCAGGGAAGGGTTGGATGAAGACACTGAACATGCCACAAAGTTATCCTACCATATTTAAGTTGCCTTTTTCTTGATCCTGCCTTTGACTTTTGGTTGCTGTAAACCCTTGACTGTTTTCCAGCATTCCATCAAAGTTGGTTTTGACTTTACCTTCCTGATTTTGATTTTTTAATGTTGTGGTAAGACCTTTTCTTGGAGATGCCTACCTCACTATTTTCACTGACATGACTCCTGTGCAATATATTTCCAATCCTTTAAAATTTAAGTAGCACTATTATTGAGGTTTGATCAGAAGTGATGATTCAGCATTGGTAATATATGGATTTACAAGGTTTATTGCATTCCTAAATGTGTTCCAATATATCCTGACCTAATAGCCTCCATCTACCTAGTAAGAAGACTCCTCCATATCAGTTATTTCTGGGATGTTATGAAAGAATGCTCATGTGTACCTTTAAACTAATCTTTAAACTATAAATACTAACAGACACTACCTATTCTTCCTCTCCTCCTCTATTTCCCAAATATCTCAATCAATTGCCTACAACATTGGGTCACAAAGCACACATCATCTAAGTAAAGGACTATCTCCATTGTAATCACCAGATCACAAAAAGAGTAGCTGTTTATGTGTCATATGGCCCTACATAGGAATACTATATAAATTTTTAGCAATTTTCTAATCTAATGTCCAAGGAGGAATATAAGAATACAGAGACCTTAAACTGCAAGGGGGGAGGGAAACAATAACTAAATATTCTTTATTTTATTGTACTATACCTAAGTTTTTTAAATGTCCTATTTCTTAAGTTACTTGTAAATAAGTCTCTGAAGCAATAAATGCCTTACTTTTCTCATTTAATGTCATTGTAAAATGAGATTATCTGAACCATCTGTAGTATAGAAAGTTCATCCAAACCTGATTGTCATGAATATACTCTGGGAATTGGTTTTCAGTTAGTTTGACAAAACACGTTTTAAATGTATGAGAAGCAAAGTCAGTTTTTCCTAGTCATGCCATATGTTTAGAACTTTTTTTAAGTCCACATCAACCACCATAACAAAATAAAACAAATGGAGTAACTATGATTCTGATTTTGATTCATTGGCTTTGACTCTCTGTACTAAACTACCATATGTGATATGAACTTTTTAAAAATTCCATTATTACAATAAAAAAAGAACTTACCTTAAAATGAACGTTTTTTGTCAATCAGAAACAAATTGTTTTCATACTTGATAAAAATGTTAATGTGTTGTTATAGTAATATAAATTCTCTTCTACAGTAGATGCTTGTTAAGGCTTAATTAAAATATCATATACAGTGTCAGATTGTAAAATCTAAGAAATAAATGTAGAATTTGTTTTAGAGAGCAGTATAAACAGTTATAAAACAACTTACATTGGTGTATAAAGTCAAATATCTGGAAGCGTTTATTCTGAACAGTGAAAGGTAATAACCATAATAATAGTTTTAGAAATATTCTAAGAATTTGTCCAAATGCTATTTATCTCCCATTATACATAAGTTAAATTGAAAACCACTTAGATTTTAAAAGAATAACAAAACATGAAAATTGTTAGTGTATCCACAAAAGATTTTTTAAAAATTATAAAATGAGATTGAATGCTAATAAAATTATATTTTCTTCAAAAGAATGTAAAATATACAAACTGATTCCTCTTTTGAAAACAATTATTTATTTAAACATGGTTATAAAAACAAAGAAATACTTTAAAAATTCATAATTTCTCAGTATCTTCTAATTTTCTACAAGGGCCTGCTATTGTTTTGAAATTAGGAAAAAAGAAAAAAATAAACTTTTATCTAGAGGGTTTGTCAAAAAAAATTTTTTTGTTGTTTTAAGACAGAGTCTCACTCTGTCACCCCAGTAGAGTGCAGTGCATCATGATATCTCACTGCAACGTCCATCTCCTGGGCTCAAGTAATTCTCTTGCCTCAGCCTCCCAAGTAGCTGAGACTATAGGTGCATGCCACCACACCTGGCTAATTTTTCTAAAATTTTTCTGTTTTCAGTGGAGATAGGGTCTTCCTCTTGCTCAGGCAGGTCTGGAACTCAGTGTTGGGCTCAAGCTGTCTTTCCAACTCAGCTTCCTAGAGTGTTAGGATTGCAGATGTGAGCCACAATTTTTTGAACTTTTCAATATGAATCTTAGTGTCATACATTTTAAATACTCAAGCTATGATTGCTGAAAGGAAAAAAATAAATAAATAAATAAAACCTACCAAAACAGTTCACTATGCTAAGAATATGTCTTTTGTGACATATCTCTTTTGTCTTTTTTGTTTGTCTTCTCCCTCACTAGTACTGGGATTCTAACCTTAGGGAAAGCACTGGACAGAGAAAGCACCGATCGCTACATTCTGATTATCACAGCTTCAGATGGCAGGCCAGATGGCGTGAGTATGCTCCCTGGGAAAGGGTTTTGAAAATAGTATTACTGAAACAGAGGGTCTTGTAGTCTTGAACTATTAAACAATTTGTTACAGACATTAATTATTTTTTTTTACCTACAGCAACTTATATTACTGAGAAAAGTGCTTTTTTTCTCCAATAGGCTCTTTTAGGAATGCACCTGTACTGTGAATCCGTTATTGTGTTACAACCTTTGACTTGACAGAACACATAGTTGTGATCAGCATTCTTACCCAATTTATAGGGAAAGTGAAATCTATTTTATTCTAACAAGTATCCCATTGTGTCTATCATCTGCACAGCACTATAAAATGCCTTCTGGCAGTTTTACTATGTTGGAACCAGTTTCACTTAGTGTCACTTTTGTGAGCGTATGGGGTAGAAGATGGATTTTTAAATAAATATCCTTAAGTACTTAGGAAACAGATTTGATTGATTCCATAGGTTTTTGTAAGTAGCACTCAGAATTCTGAGTAATCCTTGATAATCTAAGTAGTTTAAATGGGTCCATAATTCCAGAGAAGATAAATTCTATTTACTCTGGACCTAAAAATTGATTTTAAAAATAAATTGTGAGTCATTCTGAAGTGTTTTAAAATCATTTATCTGTATTCTTTGAACTATCCTATTCATAACCACCATCATCTTGATTTCTAAGCATTGTAATATAATAATTGGTAGTAATCGTTTTTCCACCATTTGTATGCAATGAGTTAGTTTTGTTTCGTTGTTTCCTTTAGTTGAGTGCTTATGTGCCAACTCAATGCTACTGTCTGTAAATAATTTTAAAGCCAGTATAGATATTAAAGCAAGGCTCACTCGATGTAAATAGCAACATATCTCCAGTTTACTTGAAATAACTTCTTTGTATAATGTATTAACTAAGGGAATAAGATAATGTACTCCTCACATTTATTTTAAAAGGATTTCTGAGAAAATTTTACTATGATAAATGCATAAAATTGATACTTGAATAGTTTTATCATCTTAATTAAAAATGAGACGAATAGATAGAAATAGTTTTTGGTAATTGCAATCTGTCCATAATAAGCTATGTGGCATTTTCAGACATTGGGTAAAGAACTATACGCAGAGAATGAAATTTACAGACCAGTTTTATAAAATAGTGAGGCTATTAGAAAGTACCTAGATAAGAGAAAAATAAAACTGAAGTTTAATTTTTTATATATTAAATGCTCTGGATTATTATAATGTGCCTGTGTTAGATGGATGTAAAGAAGTCAATGAGAGTCTCTAGAGGAAGTAATTTAAGAACTTGACTTATGATGAAAGTTTAATGGGAAACTTGGCTAGGCTATAACTGAGGAGAAATAGTCTAAGGAGGTAGAGGAGGAATTATTTAGCATAGAGTAAGAAGTATAATTATAGTGAAGTGAAATTAAAAAAAGAGCATTCAGAACCATTAGGATAGAAAAAAACAAGGAAGGATAATACATAGCTTTCAAATATGTCACATTATAAATCAAAAACTAATGGCAATAGTATTAGCTAGAACATTTTAAGTCTGTCTTTAAAAACAAAATTTCTTAGACAATAGAACAGATGGAAAATAAATAGTATATTTAGATGTCTGGCATAGTCACTATCTGCTAATTATAGTTTTGTCCACTCAAAAATAAAATACTTTTTGTGTTAAAATTAGTGGTTCTGTTCTCTTTAGGGTATTTTTTCACTAATTTACTTGTATATTTTAATTCTTTTGGCCAGTTCACTTAGCATTTCTAGGCCCCCATTTTCTCATTCTTATAATCAATCAGGTCTCATTCAGCTTTAAAATTCTAATGTATTTGAATAAATTTTGTTTCATGTTCTAAAGCTTGTATTGGGAGTATCAGTAGAGAACTAAACACTTAGATTTCAAACAAACAAATATTTCTTCAGTTAATTTTATGCTTTATATAATTTAGGGATACATTTACATGTGGCCATATATGTCCCAACCCGCAGGACCAGTTATTAGTGGGGTCCTCGGAGGAGGTAGTGGGACCTGGGAAAGGCTAAAGACACAAGAAATGGAGACAAGACCGGAGTCTGATCAAGTCTTGTTTATTAGGAACAGAGTGCAGACTTATATGCCAGTAGCTGGGCGGGTTTCTCCGAGAGGCAAAGGATAACCGTATAAGGAAGGCAGTAAAGGGTCTGGGGGCAAGAGGCAAAGGATAACCATATAAGGAAGACAGTAAAGGGTCTGGGGGCTACGTCATGTCGGAGGAACAGAACGTATGCACTTTCTGTATCCCGATCATGACCAGGCATCCATCTCAGGCTGGCTATGTGAGGTTGTGGCAGCCATCAGGAGCTGCGGCTCTGCACACATATACAATGAGTTTTGGAAGAAAAAAATGATTATATAGAAATAATATTCTTACACCTTGATAGCACTTTTTTAATCTAAACATTTAAACTTATGTCATTTATATAATTATTAAAAAATTAAGTTTAACTGTAATAAGTATTGGTTTCAAGACATATTTAATGAACACAGACCACAGATGGATGGAATTTGCTTAAATCAAAATGATTATCAGCAATTTATATGAAAGAAATTGCCAGGACGAACTTAAAAATTTTGTCATGAAAAATCACCTTGTCCACCACCCCAAAATAAGGATGAGGGTAAGACAGCTCACATTCTATTATATTAGTCATTTTTAATTTCTTGTATACAATATTGAGTATGGTTTGACTGTAATACATTTTTTTCTCTGCTAAATTTACTTTATCAGTAATAGTTGAAAAATCTATATGTTATTATTGTAAATGTCTATTTCTTTAGCTATCATGAACACAGATAAAATAATATTTTTTTTTTAGATTTTAATAATTTTTTTCTCATCCAGGGCAAGACGGTGGTGCCTGCTTTTATTTACCACTTCTATTCAAAATAGTACCAAATGTCCTAGCCAGAGCAATTAGTTAAGTAAAAGAAATAAAAGGCATCCAACCTGGAAAGGAAGAAGAAAAATTATCTTTGTTTAGAGATGATATGATCTTATATAAAGAGAATCCTATAGATTCCTTACACATGCACACACGCACACACGCACATACACACACACACGTATACAAATGTTAGGACTAATAAACAAATTATGCAAAGTATCAGGATACAAAATCAACATAAAAAGCATTTGCATTTCTATACACTGAAAATGAGTAAGCCAAAAAGAAAATTAAGAAAACCATTACATTTACAATAACATCAAAAAGAATAAAACAATCAGGAATTAATGTACCTGAGAAGATCAAAGACTTGTATAGTGAAAACTACAAAATATTTTGGAAAGAAATTAAACAAAACTTAAGTAAATTGAAAGATACCCCATGTTTATAGATTGGAATACTTATATTATTATTAAAATGGAAATGCTTTCGCAAGCAATCTGCTGATTTAATGCAATTCCTATTAAAATTCCAGTGATGATTTTTGCAGAAATAGAAAAACTCATCCTAAAATTTATATAGAATCTCAAGGGACACCAAATAGCCGTAAATAAATAAATAAATCATAAAAAGCTGGCAAACTCATGCTTCCTGATTTCAAACTTACTACAGCGCTATAGTAATCAGAGATGGTACTGGCATAAAGACAAAAATACAGATCAATGTCATATAATATAGAATCCAAAAATAAACCCTCACTTTTTTGGTCAAATTGTTTCCAAGATAGTGACCATAACCATTCAATGGGAGTATACAGTATTTTTGACACATCGTGGTGAGAACACTAGATATTTTCATTCAAAAGAGTGATGTTGGACCCTTATTTACATCATATACAAAAATTAACTCAACAGTGACCCACGACCTAAATTTAAAACCTAAAACTATACAACTACTAGATAAAAATATAGGGAAAAAGCTTTTTGGCATTAGATTGGAAGTGATTTCTTGAATATGATCCCAGACACACAGGCAACAACAACAAAAAAAATTGTATCAATTGGACTTCATGAAATTTTTTTAAAAACGGAGCATCAAAAACACACAGAATTAAAAGGCAGCTCACCAAATGAGAGAAAATATTGGCAAATCATATACTCATTAAGTGATTAACATCCAAAATCTATATAGAACTCCTAAAACTTTACAAAAGTAAACAAACTGATTTAAAAATGGGCAAAGGATTTCAATAGACATTTTTCCAAAGAAGATATGCAGATGGCCAGTAAACGTATTAAAAGATACTCAGCATCATTACACATTAAGGAAATGCAAATCAAAACCACAATAAGGTACTATCTCACATCTAGTAGGGTAGCTTTTATAAAAAACCTACTAACAAAAACAGAACAAACAAAAACAACAACAAAAAAAGAGAAAATAATGTGTTGCCGAGGATGTGGAAAAATTGAAACACTTTTGCACTGTAGTTGAGAATGTAAAATGGTACAGCTGTTGTGGAAAATAGTCTGGCATTTTCTCAAAAATTAAAAATAAAATTACCATATGAACCACCAATTGCACTTCTGCATATATATCAAATGAATTGAAAACAAGATCTCAAAGAGATATCTATACTGCCATGTTCACAGCAACATTATTCATAATAGCTAAAATGTGAAAACAACCCAAACAAAATGTAGTATATACATACAGCAAGGTACTGTATGATTCCATTTATTTGAGGTACTTAGAATACTCAAAATCATAGGGACTAGAAGGAAAATGGTAGTTTACAGGGGATGGGAGAGGGGAAAATGGGGAGTTAATGTTTAATGAGTATAGAGTTTCAGTTTTGCTAGATAATAAGAATTCTGGAGATCAATGGTGTTGATGGCTGCAGAAAAATATCAATGAACCTTACTATCACTGAACTTTACATTTAAAAATTAAGATAATTAAGAAAAAGAAAAAAAATCTAGAAGTGGACAGTAAAGGGATGGTATAGGGCCTGAACAATACCTTTGAAGATGCCTACTGGAAATTTTTGGCTCTGCCATTTTTAGTGGGCTTATATTCA